CCAAGTTGAGACTGCGACAAACCCTACAACCCTAACCCCTAAAAATCCTGAATTTGGCCCTAAACTATTTGTAAGCCCAAGACCCTCACGGCAATCTGCGTTCAGAGCCCACTTTGTCATTCTCCGGGCGTTGGCTAAGGAGGGCCGATGGGACATCGGTCCGACGCCCAGGTAGCCGGGAGGCGCGTCCCCCCCTCGTCTCCTCCCGTGCCTTCCTTGAGGAATGAGGAATTGTGTAGGATTTAGGGTTTGGGGTTTAGGGGTTAGGGTTTAGGGTTTACGTGTAAGGGAGAGTTTTTTTATGGTAAGCATGCCGCCAACGCATCCCGAAGTTTGCTGCATCTCGGAATCTTGCATCGAGTTTCATGCGTGCCCCACCGTTACGGAGTTGCAAGCTGCTGTGATCATGCTGCTATAAAAGAACAACATAGTACAATATGACATAACATGATATGGCGTCGTACACTATAACATAGTACCATTTCACATACTATAACCCTTAGGCAGAAATCCCTCGCTGAGTTTTCTGCCCGGCGAAGAGGTGATGATCCGGTGTGTAGGGTTACGCCGTGTCTGCACCTAGCCTGGACCGGTCAACCCTAATTGCCTAAATCATGGGTGAATTCCTAAGCCTCCCAAGCCTAGTTCGCTGACTTCCTGAGTTTCTCAATCCTAAACCCCGAAACTCTAAACCCTATGCAGCTCCCTGAATTCCGAAACCCTAATCCCTAACTCCCTGAATTCCTGAACCCTTGCCAGGGGCCCTTCTGCGAGGGTCAGCTCGTGAAAATCCTGGAGATGAGCGAAGAGGCGCTCGGTAGCCATGCTTTCCTTACCTTTGGTTAGTAGGGAATAGAAGAATGGTAGTAATAGTAGCTATACTTGTACCCCATTCCTCCATTCCCTACTAACCAAAGGTAAGTTTCGGGTAGGTTCAGGGTTTAAGCGTTGAGCGGTGGGTTTCGGGTTTAGGGTTAAGGGCTCAGGGTTTGGGGTTCCTTGTAATGTGGGGTAGAAAAACTGGGGTTTAGGGTTTAGGGCAAGAGCATTCCCGAATAAAGAATCTTTTTCACCGCCACAAAAGCCCAAAGAGCACCCCGCACTTGGAGGTTTCATAGGTAGTTACTTGCAAGTAGGGCTCCTCTAAGGGATCTATAAGGGGATCTATAAGTCAATCAGGGTTTTATAGGAGGAGGTTCATAGATAGTAATAAGTAGGGCTTATAAGTTACCCCTGAACCTCCAAGTAAGACCCATACAAAAACAGTATACACAATCGATAAAGCCCTCAATTGGTCCCAGAAAGATGCTTCTCTAACTGAAAGGACTAAAGCAAGTTCTAGACTCTTAGATCTCCGGTAGGGCTTGATCTGGTAGTGCTTGAGGTCGTATATAAAACCCCATATATTCCAAACTCCTTGACACCCTAAACCCGAAACCTTGGATACTGCCCCCACTCAGTAACAGTTGGATAATATTCATTTTATAGATATATTAGGCCCTTAATAGTAGCCCTATTATAGACTGTTAGTGTATGGGGGCAGTATAACCCTTAATCCCTGACACCCTAAACCCTAAACCCTTAATCTTTGACACCCTACTAAATTTTTAATCCTGGACACCCTAAACCCTAAACCCTTGCCGCCCTAAAACGCCCCAGGAGGCCGAGGGGATCTGCCTGGCCTGGTCCGCCGCCATGTCGCCAATAGCCGACTGGGGCTGGCCGGAGCACGAGGCTGTTGGGGGTTTTAGGGTTTACTGCCCTCTTTGATGTGTCGTGGGGGCTAGGGTCTATTATTGTTATTATGATCATCATGCCGTGTTTTTCTCTCCTGGTGAAAGCGGGCGTTCTTAGGGTTGCAGGATGCGCATGGGTGCGCGAAATCACCGGAGACCTTGGCGCAACTCGATGCGTCGAAGTCAAAGTCCGGAACCGAAGCCCTAAACCCTAAACTCTAAACCCCAAACCCAAAACTTAAGACCCCAAAACCTAAGCCCTAGCCTTAAACCCCAAATCAAACCCTAAACCCTAACACCTAAACCTTAAACCCTGAAAGCTAAGCCCCGAACCCCTAAACCTTAACACCCTGAAGCCTCTGAGGTTTAGGGTGTTAGGGTTAGGGTTGAGTCATTCCCAGAGACTCCGAAATCCCTGAATCAAGGAATATACCTTAAATCATGTTAGGGATCCTACTATGATTTAAGGAACATCCCGTAGTTAAAGTACATTGGAGTCCCTGGGTTGAGGCCTAGAAGATCGGGGCTTGGGGTCGAAGCTTGGGGGAGAAGCTTAAACTAGGGGCCTTAGTACTTCGAAGCACTAGTCCTTAGGGTTTCTTACTGTAGCTATAGTAATAGGGCTTTAATGATGCGTAGCACCATTTCTTCGGGTTCCTTACTGCAGTTATAGTACGATATACCCCCCTCAAAAAAACCTTATGGTAATGATATTCGGCCAGGGTCCTAAACCCTGAGCACTGGAAGAGCCTAGCATCCAGGACCCTAGGCACACATCCTGAAATGCAGCGAGCTTTTCTGTTTTGGTTCAAGTTCAACTCTTGAGTTGCAGTATTTGGTGTCGCATGCGTCTGTCGCTCTGTGCTGTGTGGCTCTAGCTTAGTGTATAGATTCTAGCACACTCAAGTAAGTACTTTCATCGACTGATCAAGAGAGCCGTGCTGCAAGGCCGTTTTCTCTCCCAGGGAGTTGATCACTATCGAAGAGGACCTCGTCAAAAGTGGTTGCATGAGCTTTCCGGGGGTCTTCGGTCGCGATGTCGTGGTTGTTGCTATAGCAGCAGCAACAAAAAAAGCTGTAGCATGAGTAGCAGCAGTGATGGTGGTCGTCGTCCTCGTCGTCTTCGTGAACCCGAAACCTTAACGCTTCAAGCCCTCAACCCTAAGCCGCACTACGAGTTGCTTCCAATGGTAGCATGGTTGCGGCTGAAACTTAGACCCTGGGTGCACGGTTTCCCAGCTCTGAGGCCCAAACTCTAGACTCTAAACCCTTCAATCTCTACTGCGTATCCTAAATCCTGAGACTCAGAAACATCCGAAGCCCGAATCCATAAACCAAGCTGTTCCGTATGCTAAGCCTCAGGCCTTAAACCCATCTCTACCATCAAGAGCCCTAAACCCCAATCCAACCTATATCCTAGACCAAGCTCTGCCTAGCCTAGCCCCAAAGTTTCTCGGAGTCGGGTTTATAGTTTAGGGGTCTACCCACAGACTCCAAAACCGCTTAATTAAGGAACATGCTTCAAATTATCAAAAAGGGCCCCAATGAGACTTAGGGCATATTCGTTGATTAACTGGCTTTGGAGTTGGTGGGTACACCTAAACCCCTAAACCTTAAATCAAGTGTGTGTGTGTGTGTAAGCTTTACAGTGCAGTGGCCTACGTCCCTCACTGGGATGGCTTGCTGCACCAACGGGCCGCCGAAGCGGGAAGAGAAAAGAACGCGCACCTTTGCTGTAAGCGCGGTCGGCCAACGCAGCCGACTCGCAAAGCCACTGTGACTTCCGACAGGAAGCGAGAAAAACCCGAGCCTAAGCAGCTAGAACCGCAGAGGCACCTAAAACCAACCCCTCAGTGAGAAGCGCCAAAGAAAGCAAGAGCCCTTTAAGCACGATCAGCCTGCGCAGCTGACCCCAACGCCTTTGCACCTTCCAGCTGGAAGCAAGAAAAACCCAACCCTAAGGGAAAAAACCCAAGAGGGCCAAACACAGAAGACCCCTCTAAACCCACAGCCAGAGAAAAGCTCTGGCGCAGGCTTGCTGCATGCACAACCGGGCGAGCCCAGCTGGCATATCTGCACAAAACACGTCCGAAAAGCATGAAGCCAACCAGACACAGCCAAAATCCCTCTCGAAGGCCAATGTAAGAGAACGACGCGTCGAAGCTCATGAAGACCAGCGAACCTAAAGCCAACAACCCTAGAGGCGAGAGCCTAAACCAAAGGGGGAAGGAACGGGCAGGTCAGGCATCAGGGCTTGGCGGGCCAAAAGCCTAAACCTACGCCCTTTTTACCCTGAACCCTCCTAAACCCTAAAGCCTTCTAATCCTAAACCCTAAGCCCTAAACCCTAACCCTAAACCCACCCAGGACACAACGAGGTCGGCTCAGGCCTGGTCTGCTCCGATGGCCGCCGCCCCCTGGCCGATGTTCGCAAGTCCGAAGCCCCGTAGGCGAGGTCCATAAGGGTAGTGTAGGGTTTTGGGCTTGGGGTAAAGAGGGTTTAGGGTTTAGGGTTTAGGACTTAGGGTAAAAAGGGTTAGGGTTTAGAGTTTAGGGTATAGGGCTATGAGGGTTCAGGGATGGATGGAGTTGTGCTAGTTCAGGGTCCCCTTTGCATGCGCGCAAGTACTGAAGGGCCAGCAGGGGGTCCCAACTGAGAAGTATCTCCACCCTTTCCAAACTCCTGAACGGGATAGTACCCTTCTGATTCAAACCACCTTGGTACGGTGGCGGTATTTTTTGCTTATTTTTTTTCAGTCTTTTTTCTTATTTTTTTTTCTGTTTTCCTCGTGGCAAGCAAGCAAGCCAGCAAGCAAGCAAGCAAAGCAAGCAAGCCAGCAAGCAAGCAAGCAAGCCAGCCAGCAAGAAAGCAAGCCAGCGAGCAAGCAAGCATGCAAGCGTGCAAGCAGGCAAGCAAGCAAGCAAGCAAATGCGCAAGCAAGCAAGCAAGCAAGCAAGCAAAGAAGTAAGCAAGCAAGAAAGGAAGGAAGGATGGAATCGTTGCAGCCTCCTGTTATTAGTACCTACTACCTACTACCTACTACCTGCCACCTACCACCTACCACCTACCACCTACTACCTACTGCCTACTGCCTCTTCTACCACTACTGCTACTACTACTACTACTACCACTAAGCGTCTCGGCTCGCCTTGCCTCGCCCGGGGTCCCCATGAGAGTGTTCTTTTTCCACTTCAGCTTCCCATTTCCATCGGTTCCGGTTGCACTTCAGGACTTTTGATATCTCTGACTAATGACATGTCAGCCATGGACCTGTGTGCCCCCCATGGACACAACAAGATCCCACTCCGCGCTACGTGGTGGAGGTGGGAAACTGCTCAAGATGTGCGGGCTCTGCATCTGGCTACTGAGTACTTATGTATCGGATTACGTGGCTTGCCGATATCAGCCAGGGTGCACCTTCAGAACCTTTACGGAGTCTCCTGGCTGGGATCCTCTACGTACTGTATCTGGCAGGAAGCATGGTTATGGACACCAGCAGAGCATAGACCGGCCTTCATTGCACGCACATACAACATCAGCCCGGCATTTGCAGACAGTGTGGTGGATGGTGCCTATGCTGCTAGGATTGGCCGTAGTGAGGATCTTGACGCCATGGACTAAGACTGCAACGACACTCCCCTGCCGATACCAACGCCCACCGGTGCCGACAAGTCCCAGTTTGTTCCGGCTGGTATTCATTAGCCTGCTGCTTCTTGGAACCCTAAATTCACCAACCCCGGACCTCAGTAGCCTCAATGTGACTACAGATCACTGCCTGGCCAACTCCCTGTCAACTGGGACCCTATGCACAGCCACGGCCTCAGACTCGCCCCTGCCACGGCTTTGCTATCAGGGAATACCAGGTTGCAAGACCCAAAAGCCACAGCTACTCTGGAACAGGGCAGCCGCGATTCGGGTTACCTTAAGCCCCCACCTCAGCTACCCTCCCTCCTCGAGTGCCCCTACACTTAGTGGTAACAGGAGGTTCCCCTCCGACCCCCAGCTCTCTAGGCCCAACCCAGCTAAAATCGGCAGCTATCCCAGGCCTGTGGCCGCACCGGCTCCTGCCTTGCTGGAGGCCAGAACAGGCTGCAGGGACACACAGGGTGAGCTGAACAGCACGACGTCAGCCCTTTGCCAAAATAGGTTCATCTCACTGTGCCGGAGGTTTCCCCCTCCGACCCTCCCCAGCTCCCAGACCTTCACATGCTGTCACCGGAGGTTCCCCTCCGATACCTGCTCTGACCTGTCAGGCCATACCCAAGTTCAGCGACAGCAGCCGGCACTAAGCGTCTCGGCTCGCCTTGCCTCGCCCGGGGTCCCCATGAGAGTGTTCTTTTTCCACTTCAGCTTCCCATTTCCATCGGTTCCGGTTGCACTTCAGGACTTTTGATATCTCTGACTAATGACATGTCAGCCATGGACCTGTGTGCCCCCCATGGACACAACAAGATCCCACTCCGCGCTACGTGGTGGAGGTGGGAAACTGCTCAAGATGTGCGGGCTCTGCATCTGGCTACTGAGTACTTATGTATCGGATTACGTGGCTTGCCGATATCAGCCAGGGTGCACCTTCAGAACCTTTACGGAGTCTCCTGGCTGGGATCCTCTACGTACTGTATCTGGCAGGAAGCATGGTTATGGACACCAGCAGAGCATAGACCGGCCTTCATTGCACGCACATACAACATCAGCCCGGCATTTGCAGACAGTGTGGTGGATGGTGCCTATGCTGCTAGGATTGGCCGTAGTGAGGATCTTGACGCCATGGACTAAGACTGCAACGACACTCCCCTGCCGATACCAACGCCCACCGGTGCCGACAAGTCCCAGTTTGTTCCGGCTGGTATTCATTAGCCTGCTGCTTCTTGGAACCCTAAATTCACCACCCCCGGACCTCAGTAGCCTCAATGTGACTACAGATCACCGCCTGGCCAACTCCCTGTCAACTGGGACCCTATGCACAGCCACGGCCTCAGACTCGCCCCTGCCACGGCTTTGCTATCAGGGAATACCAGGTTGCAAGACCCAAAAGCCACAGCTACTCTGGAACAGGGCAGCCGCGATTCGGGTTACCTTAAGCCCCCACCTTAGCTACCCTCCCTCCTCGAGTGCCCCTACACTTAGTGGTAACAGGAGGTTCCCCTCCGACCCCCAGCTCTCTAGGCCCAACCCAGCTAAAATCGGCAGCTATCCCAGGCCTGTGGCCGCACCGGCTCCTGCCTTGCTGGAGGCCAGAACAGGCTGCAGGGACACACAGGGTGAGCCGAACAGCACGACGTCAGCCCTTTGCCAAAATAGGTTCATCTCACTGTGCCGGAGGTTTCCCCCTCCGACCCTCCCCAGCTCCCAGACCTTCACATGCTGTCACCGGAGGTTCCCCTCCGATACCTGCTCTGACCTGTCAGGCCATACCCAAGTTCAGCGACAGCAGCCGGCACTGGGAACTCAACGAGGACCCGCCTCTGCCGAACCTGCGTACCTCCACTTCTCAATGATCCGGAGCGACTGTGCATATCACTATTCGTCTGGCCTTCCTTCCAGTGCTGTCAGTAGCTGCATCAATTCCTTATTCACCGAAGCCTCTCTTGCTCAAAGTACCCAGGCCTCATGCCAGGACTCGGGGCCCCTACTGGAGCCAGGTCTTCTCCCTATGCCCAGGGAAAAGACACAGCGTGATTATGAGAGGGAGGCCAAGCGCCCTGACAAACGCACACGGGCGCTGCTGAAAGCTCGACAAGATGCCACTGATGTACCCCGCGAAGACTCCATACCAATTGTGCCAACTGAGCCTCCACTGACTGTGTTTGCGGCAGTCAGAAGGAGGGTAATTTCAAGGAGTCGGATCCCTCCTCCTCCTCCACGTGCTCCTGTTCGACGACCTGAACCACACGAGGAGCTTGCACCATCGGAGCATCATGACCTTGGAGCTGCGGCAACGGATGAAGAAGAGATGGTCTCGGTGGAAGTCGAAGTGGAAGGAGAAGCAGTCGTTGAGGTTCCACCTCCGGCAACGCCACCACATCCGGCCCCGACCTCTGATGCACCCGAGGCACCTCGCACCCCTACAGAGCAGGTGACTACATCTCCGGCTGACGAACCTGAAGCAGCACAACCGACGAAGCCGGAAGGAGACTCTGCAAATTTTGGCTCCAGCCCAGAGAAGGCGACGGAGAAGCCCTTCACTCCACTGCCTCCCAAGCCCAAGGTCAAGGCGAAGCCACTGTCTCCGCGTTTTGCCAGCCCAGTGGAGCCCCAGGACGAGGGCGGGGACAACCAAGCAGGAGATCCTCTAGCAACGACTCCAAGAGCAACTCAGTCCAAGTCTGGTCGCCTTCCAAAAGGGTCGATCGGACGACTCCTGCAGGAGAGAGCACTGAGGACTACAAAGGCCCGAGCCACTCGAGCCCCCAGTGGTGCTCCTGCGACGTCTTCCTCCACGGCAGTCAAGTCCAAAGCCCAGCCGAAGCGGAGGCCCGACCACGACTCTCTTATGACAACTACCATTCCTCCGGAACTGGAGGTTGTGCTTCCCACACCCTCGACCGACACACCTGGAGACGTGGAGTTCACAAGAATCGGGACCCTTACCCAGGACGAAGCGGCTGATCCTAACACAGGTCATAGACAGTGGTTTATCACGACTCCATCCAATCCGGAGCCGACGCCTGTGCTTGACATGCCAGAATGGATCCGGAAGGCACTGGAGATACGACCCGCAGAGCCGGCACCACATCCGCCGCGACCGAAACGTGCCAGACGCAGCACGGTAGACTCTGTACAGCCACCGACAGACACAGACCAGAAGCCAGCGAGTGACTACATGAAGTGCCCTGCTCATGCTAACGCTCATGAGGTGTGCCGCCAGCTGGCCCCCACCCCTGCCTGTGCATCAGCCTCTCTCGTCCTTAACAATACTGCTTCCCGGTGCAGGACCCGGCAGATGCGATCACAGCAGGGGCACTCAGTCACTTTGTTCGGCCAAGCGGGAGCTAATCTGTCACAGTCTTCACAGATGCCATTCCCGCCGTCATCACTCAGCAGACTGGAGGTTCTCCCCACCCTCCGCCCAAAGCTATGCAGTGCCCACAAGCCTATCATCCTATCCCTGCAGGGACCTCACATCCCTCTGGCTCTGACCTGTTCAGCTGCTGGACTCCCCCCGCCGCTGAGGCCTGCCCGACAGAGTTCGACACCGGATGCACCACCACCAAGGACCGATCGGCGCCATCGAGAGTTTAAGCATCATAGGGACAGAAACTCTCACCTTAGGAGTAAGCCAGTTCCTTCATGCTCTGCCTCGCACAATCTCCTCCCTCCAGCCATCTGGCTCCCATGTGCAGCCCCGCCCGAGCATAGCAAGATGAGCCTGAGTGACGACTCTAACATGGCAAACCCTGCTCCGAACAGCTCGGATCTCGAAGATTTCATTTATGGGGGTGAGGCTTCCTCTCCAGATGCCGGAGTGGGCTTTCTCTCCAATGATGGCGAAGCTGCACCGATACCTTCTACGGTTAGCCGAACAGCAAGCCCCGCTTTACCTCCCAGAGCAGGCACACCGGTGGGAGAGCTTCTCTCTCGAATCCCAGGCCACCACGGAGGTCCGCATGCAGAGATCCCCTTAGGTTCAACTGAGCCAGCTTCAGGCCTGGATCGCTCTCGCAATCGTAAGAGGCGGGGAAGCAGCGGAGACACAATGCCACGACCGCGCCCCAGCATGGCTCCTCACATCAGTGCAACTACCTCTGCAAGTGAAGGAGAAACCGCCTCCTCGGTGAGACCAACAGACGGGCGACACGAAGTGCGAGCAACCCTTGGGGATCCTGAGACGACGATAGACCATGACGATGGCTTTCTACCCGGCGATCTTCTGCCAGCATCCTCCTCCTCCTCTACTTTGCCTGAACAGACAGTGCCGACCCTAGAGAGGACAAGGTCCCGCCAAAGCACAGCCTGCGCAAAGCTGCTGGTACGCTCAGGCTTCCGATGTAGAATCTGTTTCAAAATCAGGGCCACTGCTGCCCAGATCATCGCAGACCGATGCCAGTGTTTGAAACAACCTCCAGATAGCCCGAAGTGCGTTTTGTCCAGTCAGCCACTGCCTTCCAGGCCAGCTTCAGCATCAATCCCTCTGTTCCCTAAGCCTCATGCCTGCCTGCTCAGCTCGTTATGGGTCCCGGGAGACCCCGGCATCTCCCTCTCTGCAGCAACCTTGTGCTCCCCTCAGTCCTGCGGTCAGGACTCCAGCTCAGCCGGCCAATCCAACACCAGGCCACAGCAGGGAGTTCAGGATGCACATCAGTGGGGTCAGAAGTTCCGCCGTGTCAAGCCTAAGCCCCGCTCCCACCGAGATCAGAAGCTAAAGTGGATGGTGATGCGAATAGACTTCAGAGCCCTGCTTCACTTAGCCAACAAGTACCTCCGAGCTATTATGCACAGACCAGAGATGGATAACAAGGCCCAGTCCTCTCATCCCAAACTTGTGCCTCCCACCCCCTGCAAAGCATTGAATCTGCTAAATCCCCCCCGATCAACATGCGAGTCATCACATTTGAGCCGTCCGGGTCCCAAGTCCCGGAGCAGACTGCTGGTCTACTGCCTGTTCATGCAAAGCATTCAGA